CCCCAAAACCCCAAAACCCCAAAACCCCGTTAAGCTAAGTTTACTCTGAATAAGAGAATATGCTTTTTGAATATTATCAAATTTAAAATAGAATGGTAAAATTATAAACTTTCATCTCATTATTAATTCTAAATTATCACTCTAGAGGAAGCAATGCTGAAACACTTTAATTTAGCTAACTTATTGAATCAATCTAATGCCCGAAAATACAATGTTTTGAGGATGAAACTATGAGTGGGTTGGATTTGTGCTACAAGCAAGACATTCTTAATAAAGGAACTATTCTGATGAAGAAATGTCCAATTGGTTAATATTGTCACGAAAAGCTTAATAGATGCATGAGTGATCCTTTTAAATCATACTAAGGAAAGTTGCCAGGAGAGTCGTGCAATTATAACTATCAATGCTTGAGCTAAAATTGCTAGCCTGATTTTAAACTTGATATCTCTGCTTGCAATGGAATATAGGTTGGAGAGACATGTAAGTTAAATTTTGATTGCGGAGTCGGACTTTTTTGCAACAAAACATCCAATATTTGCCAATAACTAAATGGAATTCAAATGAATTGCCAAGATGACAAGGACTGTGAAAATAATGCAGTTTGTTCAAATAATAAATGTGTTGGAATAAGTACAATAGACAATTATCAGGAGTCAAGTACTGAGCTGGCTTGCAAGAGTGGATTTTTATCAAAAGTAAATGAGAAACAATCAATATGCATGTCAACTCCTATTATTATAGGCTAATAGCTTCCTGACTATAGATGTAATACAATATAAGATTCATGCACTTACTAGTACTATGATCATAATTTAAAGCCAGCCTAATTTAAACTAAAATGCGAGTGTGGATTAAGTCAAAATGGCAATACTTCATATTGTCCTAAAATATATCATGAAGAATATACTTAAATTTTGAATGAAACAATCAGCAGACTAGGCATGAATTGCCATACACTCAACAGATTCAAAATTTATGAATGCCTACAGCAAAATATAAGAAATGAAGATGACATGGAACTTTTGAGAAAATATACTGTTCTCTATTTTTAGCGAGAGATGAATTCAAAGATAAGGGACGAAGGTATATAATGTCTGAAGACGCACTCTTTTTTATCTTAGTACTGGAATGCATTAGAACACTTGGAGATGAAGCAGTTCAATTATTCATCATAAAATAGGAGGAATGTAGCAACTATATTGAGGTAACCTTAATTTGGAATGCTTAGCTTGTGCTTCATTTTCATGATATATTTCTCATATTAATGAGGAGCAATAAAACAATGACTGAAGTAGTCTTGCAATACACCTAATGTTACAATCAATATATATGTTTCTCATCTATTAATTAAATTAATTTAAATGAATGCTTAAGATTGAACTACTTCTTTTGGGGTTTTGGGGTTTTGGGGTTTTGGGGTTTTGGGG